TGCAGGTGGCTCCCTGTTCCGAGAGGTTGCTCAAACACAAGCCCTCCCACCCTGAAACTATGCAGAAGCTAGGAATAGAGTTGTAACACTGTTACTCGGAGTTACTTCAGGCTTTAGTTTAGTTTTAGCTTTAGACCCAGGCTTTTGCCGCACTAATGCCCCTGTACCGCTGGAGCGGGGGGAGGGGGCGGGGAGAAGTCCCTTCCTCCCCTCCCCCGTTGGATTCGCCCATGTCGTAGAAAAACCTATAGATTGAGGATAACGCTATTTCGTCCCTCCCTCTTCTCCAAATTGGTATCCTGTTTTTCGGGATGTGAAGGGTGCATGGACAGGTCGACCGACGTGTGGTCGTTAGTCGTTGACAGGGCCGATTTTTCCACATTTACTTGCACTGCGTCCTCACTGAGCACCCATTGCGGGCGTTTACTGAGTCCCGCTAATTTGGGATGGTTGGGTCGGTACGGGCAGGTGAGGTGAAGGCTGTTTTGCCCCCGGTGCTGCTACTTTTGGCGCTTTAGTTTCGCGCATTTTCATTCGTTCTTGTGCCTGCTGCTCCGGTATCGTGTCAATGTGGGTCACTAATGCCCTGCTAAATAATAACCCGGTAAATTTCTAGTTGATTGCAATGTTTGTTTGTGTGTTTCTGATGTTAAATTTGTTCACTCAAGTTCTCACTTCGTTCTCCTTATGCGTTTTTTACAACTGAGTACACCTGAAGAAAACCGGCTCAGTAATTACTAATTTCAGACCCATGTTTTTTTGCACTGTCTGGATGAGAGATATTTCCTCAGCAAAACAAACGATAAGCATTCGCTGCCAGGAGAGGCTTGTTGTGAACGGAGCCCTTTTTCGAAAATCGTTGAACGGAGCCCTTTTCAAAAATTTTAGTGGCCTTATTTTGAAGGGAGAAGAATTCTACCAGCACTCCCTCCCGTCACGCATAACCGTTTCGTGAGAACATAATAAAAATAATGGTGATGATATTCAAGGAAAAGAAAAAAAAAAACAAAAAATGTGTATATTAAAAAAAATTTCGCGTAATTAATTGGCGTATTTTAATTGATTGACCCCATTTAAGTAGAGTATTTTACTAGTATTTTGATTTCTGCATGGCGTGTAACTGTGTAACAAGCGTATTTTTAGCTTCTTAAATAATAAATTTGGAATGATTTAAGATGCTAGAAAATACGCTTTTTAACAGTTGCACCATCGAACAAAAAAAAAACTAAGCAATTTTAAGAATCACAACTTTTGAACGATTACGAAGCAAGGCGCGTGGATTTTCCTGGTTTTATGGGATGTAAAAATTCTGGTACTCACCAAAACGCTGTGTTAGTGTCAGAAAAAAATTTTCATAATTTTCGAGCCCGCCCATCAGTTTTTCATTCATATTGATAATGACGGTATAATCGGACGGTCCGAACTAGCTTTCTCCATCATGAATTTTTACGCGTCCAAGTCATGTTCCCTTTTGTGTTCGCTCCCTGTAAAAAACGGAAATACTTAGAAGTAGCCCCACAACACAGCAACTTTCGCCTGCAGTATCGTCGATGGCTCCTTTTTTATCTTTTTTGAAGCAGATGCTTTTGAATTGGTTATTGGAAAAATTCCGGTTGCTTTCAAATTCCAGA